CGAGCCCATAGGAACAACCAGCGGTTTAGATCAATATCACCTGATGAAGACCAAGTACACAAGGTTTTTTTCACTTGGTCAAAAGCATGTTTTTCCCTTGATAAGGTTTCATGTTGACGTGAAACAGTGTGCAACCGAGAGGTCCCCTTTCTGCTCAGGACCGAATCAATCGTGCGCCCACAGGATGATCACGACCACACCTCACCTCAAAGAACATGCTGCCGACGGATCACTGGAGTGACGACCGTCCCCACCAAAGAAGCAAAGCAAAGCTCCACACGTGCACGTCGCAGTGCTTCAAAGCTCTGAACACAAAATGACAAGCGGAGCTGCACGTGACCAAGGTCACAACATGTCCCAAGTCTCCCAACAAATCTCCCAACAAATCTCCAAAATCCCAACCAAAACTTTTTGGGTAGCAAGTGGGACCAGCAAGTTCCGCCGGAAACAACATCCCAATAGTCGTCACGACACCACAAATGCAGCCAGAGCTCTGCTGCGCGGTCCACTTTGAACAGAAAACATCGACCTTTGGTGTAGGCGAGATGCACCAAGTAGTAGTCCCAGAACCATAGCCCCCGCCCCACTCCTTGACTTTGGCAACTTGGGCCCGGAAAGTAGATCAGTTAATAAATACCTTTAAGATGAGCAAAAAGTTCTCATAGATCCCCAAAGATCACGCTGGGGCGGCTTGAACCACGCTACTAGTAGTGCCAGAGATTCACTAAAGTTGGTGCAGCACGTCCCCAAATCCATAGTTGGACATGCCCAAAAACATCCGGTTGAACACGGGGTACCAATGGAATCGTAGATTTTGTCATACGAACGCCAGCCAACAGGCAAGGCTTAGTTGTTGGTTGCGAACGTAGTGAGCATTAGGGCGTCTGAGGGCCGTGGCCGACTGTCGCCGCTAAAAAGTAGCAGGTGGCAATTTGGTGACGGTAGGGCTTCGGTTCCGCCTGGTTCGCAAAGTGGGCTGGTCCGCCCCCCCCGGTCTGCAAACTGTGGGGCTGGGCGGCAAGGGTTTTGCTACTAGATGAACCCATGCTGAACCTCAACGGCTGATCTGGCCCCTTGGCACCTGTTTTCTGACTGCCTTTACAGGCCTTGAGCATTTAGCTCTACGCTCACCGAAAAGGTGTACGCTAGCCTTGCCCCTGTTGTGACTTGGGTGTAGGCGGCTGCCATTTCACAGTGGTAGCTGGAGCCCGCCGTGGTCCAGTGCCCTTCGCTGCTTCGCTGCTGACTACTTCCTCTTCTACTTGGACGCGGACTTCGTGGACATCGCCTACTACCTCTTCCTGGACCTGGCCTTCGACTACATCTTGGACTACCTGACCTTCGACTCGGTGCGGACTACATCCTGCACTACCTGACCTTCGACTTGGTGTGGACGACAACCTCTACTACCTGGCCTCGCTGCTTCGTGCTCTACCTGGACGTGCTGCTCATCGACTACATCCTGTACTACCTGGACCCGCTTGGCGCTTTGGTGCTTTTGGTGGTGGCCGATTTTCCTGGACTACCTCTTCAAGCTCCCTTGGCCGATGGCGGAGGATGAGAAGAAGGAGGAATGTGGGTTTGACAGCTACATCCCCGTTTGGGATGGGCGGGCGTGACTTCAAGCGCAGTGTCACCTGGTGGCTGAGTTCGATCGACCTGAAGAAGACCACTGACTTCAACTTGGCAGCCCGCTTCGCTATGAGGCAGAAGGGCAGTGCCAAACTTCAAGCTTTGGAGTTTGACCCGAAGCAGTTGGAGTACAAGCCTGCGAGAAAGGAGCTGAACATCGAGACCGGCGTGGAGGAGGACATCCCTGCCCAGTATGACTACGGCATCCACAGGATTTTGTCATCATGGGAAGAGATGGTTGGACGCACAGCCCTTGACAGGAAGGGCGAACTGAGAGAAAGGTTTTACATGACCCTCAAACGAGGACCTAGTGAAAGCATCCCGAACTTCGCAATGAGGTTCCGGACCTTGGCTGGGGAGATGAAATCTGAAGGTGTGAATGCGGACCCATCGGAACAAGCTTGGTTTTTAAAGCAGAAGCTTCAACTCTCCGAGATTCAGAAGCAGATGCTGGAAACTACGTTGGGGTCCGATACGGACTATGGCATCTGTGAAAGAGAAGCTGTGTGGCTTTCCAAGCGGGTTCACATGGCTGGTGGATACCAACGCCCTGGAGGTGCTGGCAACTTCCAGAAGAGAACAACTAGCCTGACATCCTCAACTTTGTCGAGGTTTCGCAAGAGCTTGCCATCATCTTCATCATCGACTGCCTCTTCAAGCTGGCGTGGTAAGAGCCGTCCCAGTGCGGTCTATGTGACTGAAGCTGAGGACACCCTGGTGGATGAAGAGAGAGACTGCTGGCGATGTCGCTGAAGATGGAGCCGAAGATGATGGAGAAGATGATGAATTTCAAGGTTTGCAGGAGACTTACTTTGGAGATCCTGGCAACTGAGCTGGACGAAGCTGCGGCTGCTGGCCATAGCGAGGAGGAGCTTGCGGCTTTGGAACAACAAGTGGATGACGCTGTGGAAGCCCTGGTTACTCTTCGTGAAGCTCGAGCTCAGATTGGAGCCCTTCGCAAAGATCGTGGCTTCAAAGGCCGTGGATCAGGTGGCAAACAAAGCTGGTCGTGGCCGTGGTGGTGCTGCCAAAGGGCAAATGCTTTGTGTGTGGAAAACCTGGCCATTGGCAAGGAGATGCAGAATGCCCTTCGCCTTCCCTCACTGCAGAGCCGCGGCATTGTGTTGGAGTTGGAGGTGTTTGTGAGGTTCAATGTGAAGGCAAAATGGTTTGGAAGGTAAAATCCAAGATCGATGCGGCTGGTGGTGACTTGAACATGGTTGTGCACTACATCCCACAGCCGTATCTCTCAAGAGAAGCTTTTGTGGCAGAAGATGCTGCTCTCCCAACCTCCGGTCACTCCCTCTCAACAGCGATGGAGTCGCATGTTGGTTCGAATGCTGCTTCGGAAGAGATGGCATTTTCAAGGACTACTCCTGTGGCTGATTCAACGACCATTTTTGCGGTTTCTCCCAACGCCGCTTCCGATGGTATCCACTGCAGTGGAATGGAAAGCTCAAGTTGTGGACATGGTGAAACGTCGCGCTTGGCCGAAGCTTTGGCTGTCTCGAGTGCAACATCTGTTCACAGCGGTGCACCTCAAGGATGCCATCACACTGAGATCTCGGATGGGGCTACTGGAATGCTTCATGGAGGACGAGGCGGTGACCTTCGGGCTGAAAGCCGTGAAAACAAGGAGCCGTGCTCGCCAACAAGCAGCCCTGGTGGAGGAGACTCACAAAGCGGTAGCCGCGCTGGATGGCCAAAGAGAAGAGCTGGCAAGAGAGCTGATAGGTCCCAGAGGAGGTCTTCCTCGCAACAAGACCGACTTGGTAAAGTTGGCGACGCTGCTGAAGGTGGACGTTCTGCCAAAGGACACTCTGGCGGACATCACGACCAAGGTGAAGCCCATGGTGGAGATTCTGAAGAACCGGATAGCTCTGAAGGAATCTCAGAAGAATATGGGAAGAACCTGCAGGCTCCGAGCGAGTCAGCCGTCCATCAAGGAGCAGATCAACCTCACCAACCATTACCTCTCAAGGATCTTCGTGGTCTTCCAGTGGGGTTGGAGAACGCCGAAAATCTGGAGAACCCCGACCCGGAGACCCTTCCGAGAATTGGCCGAAGGCCGAGCAGAGATTGGACTCTACTACGTGCGTATCGATCAATGTCACTTGGACTGAAAGGAGCAGTAGGTGGCTTGCACTACAAGCCACCAACATCCTGACTTCGAGCTATGAGGTTGCATATGCCTTGCAGGACTGCCGATGCTCCAAAGATCACCAACATGAACCGGTCATTGGAGGCCACAAGGTGACTGAGCTGGCAGGCCATTACCCCTCTGCACTTGCCAAGCTCATCTTGGATGGCTTGGAGGCTCAATTTGAACGCCTTTTCCATGAGGTGAACGTGGCGTCACCTGAAGGTCCTGCAGAAGTTGTTCATGAGACTGACGAGGACGAGGACCTGGACGATGATGATGATGGCGATGGAGATCAGCCAGACGACAACCCTGAGGTTGGCGAGATTGGAGATGGTCTTCATGCAGACCCTGAAGGTCGAGCCCCTGGAGCAGAAGCTTTGGAAGATGCTGAAGCTGTGGTTCCTGTTGCAGATGGAGGTGATCAACCAACTACAGCTGAGAAGAAGCTTGCAGCCCACTTGCATGAGATGACAGGACATCGACCTGTGCTATGTCTTGCTCGAGCTCTGGTTCTGACTGGCGCTCAGCCTGGACTTGTCAAGGCCGTGAAACAACACAAATTTGAAGTTTGCCAAGAACTGCCAACGGTGAAAACTCATCGACCTGCTGGCATTCCACATGCCTGCAACTTCGGAGACAGGATCTACAGTGATTTGTTTGCAGTGCCTGATGTGCGCCTGGAGACTTTCTGGATAGCTCATGCCATTGATGGTGCTACCCGCTACCAGGTTGCCAAGGTGTTGGACAACAAGACCGCTCCGGAGGTGGTGAAGTTCATGGAGGAATCCTGGTTCCAACCATTGGGGATTCCAGCTTCAATCACGGTTGACATGGGCAAGGAATTCACATCAGCCCTGTTCATGGACAAGATGTCATACTATGATGTTGCAGTTCATCACATACCTGTTGAAGCTCCGTGGCAAAATGGACTTGCAGAACGGTCCGGTGGTGTGCTCAAAGCTGTTTTGCGAACAACCATTCGCCAGACCTCAGCCTTGGGAATGGATGATGTTGTTGGTGGAGCCCTCACTGCAACGTTGGAGGCAATCAACACTGACACCGAAGGTGTTGGCTACAGCCCTTCTCAATGGTTCTTGGAAAGAATCCACGAGTTGTGGGAGCTGCTGGAGGAAATGAACTTCGCTCACAGCTGCCTACACAAACTCGAGCTGATGAAGCAAGTTTTGCAAGAATGCAAGCAATGAGAGAGGTTGCAAAACTCTCCATGCTGAGGGTTCACTACTCTCGAGCACTTCGTCGTGCCGCAGTGGCAAGACCGAGGCCAACGATTGGATGGGAACAATTCAGCATTGGCGATGTGGTCTACTTCTTCAGAGAGCAGAAGGCAATCCCCAAGAAGCTGAAGCTGATCCAGCGTCGACGACTTGCACTACGTCGATGGCATGGACCTGGAGTTCTTCTGGCTCTGCAAGGTGGAAACGTCCCCTATGTTGCTTTTCGAGGCCACATCACAAAGGTTGCAATGGAGCACATGCGACATGCAAGTGCCTTGGAACGCTTGACTGCTGGAGATTGGGAAGAAGTCCTGAACGAGGTGATTGCGGCCAATGAAAATGTGGCTCAACCACCAGCTCTTCAAGATGGCGCACCATTGGAAACAGTGCCTGAGTTGGATGATGTGGAACGTGGAGATGATGGTCAACCACGTCCTGATCAAGTTTAACAACAAGCTCAACAACGAGCACTACCAGCTCGTGGAGTCATCATGGAGAATCCCGTGGTGTTTCCATATCCCTTTTCGAGGGAGATGATGCCTACTCCTTCAGCTATGGCTGGTGCCCCTGGATCAACATTTACAACCAACTTGGAATCTGGAAGAACATCAATGGCTTCAACGCCTATGTCAATGCTTGGTGCCCCTTGCTCAACTTTCTCACGAGCTCAACATGATGCTGCGAGAAAGGATGAAGCTGCTGGACATGCGAGAAATGTGAGTCCCACTGGTCTTTCGGGACAAGCCCTTGGACTTTCGGGCGATGCAGCAGCTGAGCCTGGACAGCCCTCAGGTTCTCAAGAGCTACAACAAGGACAGACATCTCAACTTCCGCAACAAGTACCTGGAGTACCTTCATTGGAAGAGCCCCCTCCGAGGAGATTGGATCGAGCTGGAGCTGCAGTTCGTTGTGCTCTTTCTGAAGGAGCTCAAGATGATCGCCCTGGAACAAGAAGGAGGACCCTGGAACCTCTGATCTTGGGTGACCGCACAATTGACGTGCTGGCTTCAGAACTCTGCCGAGTTCATCCCCTGGTCAAAGCCGTGAATTGGTCACAGCAAGACATCGCTGATGGAAATCTCATCGAGCCCGACCATGGCAGCTGGGATGGAAGATGGACTAGACCGAGCAGATGGGAATTTGAAGCTATGGAAGCTACTGGTTCATGCTGGCCCAGTGGAAATGGAGAACACGAGGCCCTGACAACTGCCGCTCAAGGAAAAGATCTTCGCTGGAGCGAGATGGACGAGGGCACCCGTGACAAATTCCAAACTTCCGCTGTGGATCAGTGGAACAAGTTCGTGGAGAACAAAGCTGTGAAAGTGCTGACCCTGGAGGAGTCAAAAGCTGTGATGCAAGAGCTCAAGATGAAGGGAGAAGAGCAACGTGTGCTGACGCCTCCCTTCGTCATGGTGGACAAGAACGCTCCGCTCAGCACGAAGGAGAAGCCGCTGCCTCTTCGAGCCAATTCTCGGCTCATTGTCCCTGGATTCAAAGGCATCGAGAATCTGCAGGGTGGCCTTCGAATAGATGCTCCGACTGCCTCAAGGATCAGTCAACACTTGGTGGCATGCATGGCTGCACAGCACCCAAACTGGTGTTTGCAGAGCGCTGATGTTCGTGCTGCTTTCCTGAAAGGAGATCCCTACGTGGAGCGGGAGATCTACATGGGACCGGCAGATCCACGCCGTGGTCCTGCGATTCCCATTGGCCCTGGATGTGTGGCCAAGGTGTTGAAGGGTATCTTTGGCTTGGCCGATGCTCCGAGAGCTTGGTATTTGCGCTTGGCCAGAAAGCTCAGTGAGGATGGATGGTGCAGAAGCTCCTTGGACCTCTCTCTATGACTTCGACATCAAGATGGTGAATTGGTTGGAATCCTTGCTGCCCACGTGGATGATTTGCTGATGTCAGGAAACCTGGAATCAGAACGATCAATGCTCCGCTTGGGTGAACGCATTGGTTTTGGCTCAATCGAGAAGGACCAGTTCATTTGGTGTGGCGAGCAGTTCACCAAGAGCAAGGAGACTGGAGAGGTGACCATGGACATGATCACCTACCACAAGAACTTGAAACAGGTTGCTGTGAGCAGAGATCACCGACAAAATCCCTCAAGCCCATTGAATGCGCAGGAGCAGAGACAGCTTCGCGGCGCATTGGGATCACTGCAGTGGTTGGCAGGCCAATGCTGCTTCGACTTGGCATTTGATGTGTCTGCACTTCAACGAGAAGTACCAGCTACGATAGGCACATTGCTCCGTGCCAACAAGGTGATCAAAGAGGCTCAGGCGACACAGGAGTTCAAGCTCCGCTTTCATCCAATCGACTTCGTGAAAGGTGGTGTGATGTCCATCACGGACGCAGCTTTGGGGAATGTGGATTCCAGAGGATCTACTGAGGTGGACAAGTTGGAGAAGGTTCACAATCAGAGCTGCTACGCCATTGTCCTTGCGGATGAGGCGATGATGAGCGGTGGAACCGGCTTCTTCAATCTTTTGAACTTCAGAAGCCACAGATTGCAAAGGGTATGCAGATCCTCCTACGCAGCTGAAACCTTGGGAGCCGAGGAAGGCTTAGACGCTGGTGAGCTTTGCATTGCCGAGCTGAGAGGCCAGGTGATGACCGACAAGCAGGCGTTTTTCAAGGTTTGCTTGGTGCCTTTGATGGGAGTCACCGATGCCAAGGACTGCTATGATCGAGTCAGTCAAGACGTGGGCTTCGGAATGCAAAAGTCCCTTGCATTCACCATTGCCGCCATCAGACAGCAACTGAGACGCCCTCAGACGTCTTACCGCTGGACATCGACGCAGAATATCTGGGACCAAGCACATAGACAAGACCAACCTTCGAAAGACGTTGGAGTGTGGCACATGGTCCGTGACCTGCAACGAGGAGTTCACGAAGCAGACCAGCCGGAAAGCAAAGAAAGCTGACACAACTGCTGCTGATCTACCTGGACGAGATCCCGAGGTGAAGGATGAGAAGCTGATGCAGTATGTGTACCAGCTGGCCGAGATGGTTGGATGGCACTACATCGATGGGACTGGGATTCATGTGGCTCATGGAGCGAAATCGCTTCGAAGCCCGCAGCCCCGGTTTGCAGTGCGAGAGTACCCATGGAAGACACCAAATGGGCCTACCTGGTATGTGGTGGAGGAACGAGCTGATCTATGAGATCTGCAAAGTCACCATGGACTTTTGACCGAAAGATGCGAGAAGCTGGCGACATTCTTTCATGGCACGTAAAGGCCAAAACGGTCTTCAGGCCACAAAGAAAAGGACCGATGTGAAAGCGCATCATGTCCTTCAGACCTGTTTTCTGACTGCCTTTACAGGCCTTGAGCATTTGGCTCTACGCCCACCGAAAAGGTGTACGCTAGCCTTGCCCCTGTTGTGACTTGGGTGTAGGCGGCTGCCATTTCACAATTACAGAAAGGTTTCAAAGCCGTTTCCTAGCAGATTATTGTGATTTGTTGAAGCTCAACAGGTTTCGGGGCACGTCATGCTTGCACTTTGATGGACCTTATCCTTGGGTCTTGTTGGATTTGGGTGAAGCGTGTGATGGATAAAGCGCTCAAGGAGGTGTGTTGGCTACAACCCTCGCTGGCTTTCGTTCCCTCCCTCTCAGGTTTGTAACCTGCAATTTAAGGGACGGCCATTATGCATCATTATGCTATTCTGCCCGCAAAGTGGCCTTGGAATGGGCCCGGCTAAGGCGCTTGGTGGAAACTGTGCGCAATTACCTCAAGAAGCGCTATGCTCGGAACCCCAGACTTTGTGGCACATCCGGCAGTAGAGAGTTTCGCCTGTTTTTAAATCTGGCACAGACGCATGTGAGTATGTCCAAACAATTGAAAGATTGCGATATTGAAACCGTTTGTGTCTGGTTTTGCTGGCAACTGTTTCAGGTAAATCAACTGTTTGCGTCTATAAACATTGACGTGTCACAGGCAGCAGCGTCCACTCACTTTGAACCATCATGCCAGGGCTAGAGTAACATCCGTTGAAGGTGTGACACTTGCTGGCGTAAAAATGGACCTATTCATCCTTCCTTACCATATTCCAGGTGTTGTCACATTCCTTCACCTCCACCTGTTGACAATATTTGACCTCCTGTTTTGGCGTTCTTGATTTGTGTATTGGGACCTAATTGTGAACATTGCCAGCAAAAGCGGTGTCACCAAAGTAGTTTGTGGCCAAGGCTGATCCGGGCAATGAAGACGAAATCGGTAGCCGTTTCCGTGGCTGCAGCCTGGTTGAGTAGATGGACCTTGTGTGTTCAAAGAGGATAATCTAGCAATGTGAAAGGCGTTCATGTGGGCTGACACAGTGCAACTGAAATCGATGCTATGTAGTGGCTAGTTTGCAGAATGAGGTGCTTCGTGCTGAAATCCTGTAAGAACAAAGGGTACTTGACTGCCGATACATGGGAACCCGGCCCTGAGGTCTCATGTCCATGGTATTTACTGTGCTTTATGATATTTTTGGGCCTTGATTTTGAACGGTTATTTTTTTTTATGTTTTGTATGGCCTTTGATGAAAGCGGGTTAACGTATATACATACATACATGCATGCATGCATTACATTACATTACATTGCATTACGTTACATTATATTACATTACATTCCATTGCATTGCGTTGCGTTGCGTTGAATTACATTACATTACATTACCTACATCCATACATGTATGCATGCATGCATGCATACATATATGCATACATCATGAAGAGATCTTGCCAAGAGACCTCCCACAGACATCTCGCCCAGAGGTCTTGCCAAAAGACCTCTTATAGAGATCTGTGCAAGGAAAGCTCTTACAGAGATCTTGTTCAGAGAGCTTGCCAGCAGACCTCTTTTGGAGGTCTTGTACAGAGACCTGGTGAAGAGAGCACAAGTTTTGCTCGGAAGTCATATATAGATAGCCTGAACAGAGATCTTATTCAGAGATTCCTTACAAAGAACTTCTGTGGAGATCTCCTATAGACACCTTGTAGAGATAGCCTTACGCAGGGATCTTGCACAGCAGCTTCTACAGAGAACCTGTCAAGGAGATCTTGTGCACGATCTTCTATACAGAGATCTTCACAAGGGAACTTGCAGAATCTTACCTGGTATCTCTTCTTTTCACTACTAGGGTCGCTCTTGTGCTGCTAGCTTGCAGCCACTGCTGATTTTAAGTCTTTTCCACCTTTCTCTTTAGAATCCGAACTACGCACTGTTTGGGGTCTCTTGCCGGGATAATTATGCGTACGTGCTCTTACACAGAGGTTTGTACACAGAGAAGCTTTTACACATACACACACACACGTTGGGGAGAACGCACTCTTCGGCTCGGCCGAACCTGCATTGTTGCTGTTTGAACTCTTTTGCTTCCTCTTCCTGATGACCTACCTTTCGTGTTCCCCCTACCAAGTGTCAAATCCTTATTGCCTTCTTCAGATGTAGCGGCCCGTAGCAGTTTAAAGGTAATGTTAGGAGGGTCTGCAGTAGGCCATTGTTCTTTGACAGTTGCCGGCTCTGACATGTTACCTTCCAACAAATGAATGCATTGAATGCATTGTCCACATGTGGAAAGACTACCTTTTTCGGTGATGCCACTCCCCACCCTCAACCTTGTGTTGCGATTGATTTTTGTGTTTGCTCCATCGTTTGTGGACTCAATCCGTGATCCTTTCGCCATCACACCCTGGAAGTGCCGCATCTTTCACCCAGGTCTTCTTGTACATGGGATTGGCTGAACGGCTTTGTTTCAACGATGGCATACCAGAAACTCAGCTGAGTCGCGGAATTACCTCATCATTCGGCATGAACTGTTTCGAAGAAAACATGCATTCTACTCATCCTTTTCATTGGTGTACTCACATGGTCCCTGGCCTCCAAACTGGATGGTCGCAACCAAAGGGCTATATTGCAATGGAAATCTCATTTCGGCTTCCCATGCACTTTTGCAAAGTGGTTGCGTGATGTTACTGTATCCGGTTCGTCACAACTCGTTTTTCACATATAGCTAGATTGATGAATGGCTAGATCGATGCGTAAGATTCGTGCACGACCAACTGCAAGACATAAGGGCATTATTTTCTCATGGTTCAACGGCTTGACCTGCTCAGAGTGCACTCGCGCACTTTCCAAGCTGAGGAAAGCCAACGGGTCAACCTTACCAATGCTGACGGAGAGCGTTGCTGACCTCATGTTTGCTCCGGATCTGTAAGGATTGGACTCTTTGCCACAACACGGTTAATTCAGGGCCCCATTCACAAAGGTTTCCTAGGATGTTTTCAATGATGTTTTTCAGAAACAAAGTAGTTGTATCGGAGTGCATCTCAGCTAGATGCTGATCTCTTCTGAGAACGTATGAAAAATTTGTAGGTTCTTTATAACCAACTTTTAATACAGGTATTATGTTACGTTGGTTATAACATGTTGTAAGCTATAACATGTTTTAACCAACTTACAAAGTACATAAAAGTATCCCCTTGACCATTCGAAGACTCGCCTTCAGCATTTAGCGGGAGAGGGCCATCTTCACGAGCATCCTCCAGAAAGAGTGTGGATTCGATGATGATTTCGGGCAATTTTCAATTCCAACAAAACACAAGCTGCAGACATACTGATCGGGATAAGAATGTTGCTCCGCTTACGCTGTGGAGTGCTGTGGTGATACGACAAAATCCTTCAAGTGAATTACTCCAGCATCCCATCGCGTTGGCACGCGACAAGCGGAGTGCAATTGTGCAAAATGAGTTTATTCTACCTGAGAGGGACTTGAACGACTTTTCTGCACGCACCAACGTCTTAATCGTTGGCCTACTTTGTACAACAAGAAAAGGCTTGTCAACTTCAATTGTCCTTTGAATCAAGATCCCTTCGGTTATGAAATTGGTGACTGCAGTGAAATTGGAATCTCAGTCTACGCGGCTAAGCCCGCTACCCGGAGCTACCCGGAGCTACCCGGAGCTACCCGGAGCTACCTTGGTTTCCGCGGTGAGGCTATCCTGTTGGCATCTGGAAGCCCACGTGGGCAGCTGGTGTCGCCACTTCTGCTGCAACTTGGCAAGTCGGTGAGCATCCAGGACCACCGAAACGAGATGAGACGAGATAAATCGAGTCAACATTGGTGTTCCATGCTGTTCCACTTTTGCAGCGTAATATTGGATTGCAGGATGCAGGATATTTCAGGATGAGACGGAAGGTTTGGCGAAGTGATGACGTGATGTGATGAGCCTCATGATATCATTGAGATCTATTGCGTATTTTCGCATAGACCAAATAGGTGACATATGGTGAAAACTGATTCATCATGAACTATTTGCAGTTTGGGTGGGTTGTGACACCTTGCAAGTTCGTCAAATGTAGGATTCCATCATCGATTTTGTAGCTCCGGCTCAACGGTTAAACCCACCTATATTGCGGGCAACTCCCATAAGTCAGAGCAAGACAGAATCAGGTGATGGAAGTGCTTGTGAGCGAGAAGTTGGGATTTTTAACTGTGCCTCAGCTCGCACCAAGGGCTGGGACAGGGATGGAAAGCTGTAGCAGCTACGGATCTGAGACGGGCATCGATGTTAACGATTTAAACATATTCAAGACCCTGCATTTGAAAGAAAAAATGGTCAGTTTTTCATCTAAATCGTGAACTGGTTGTCCCAGCACGGGTGTAGCAACAATGGCGTGTCGCCATTGAAAGCGCCCATCACATCGATAGGTGCTATTTGACTGAGGCTGGTGTGAGGTTTGTAAAAAACAAAGGAACAAGTGGATAGGCTGGATAATTAGTTGAAAACTGCACCAGTGATGGCTCCCAAGAGAATTCAATCCATGACTACCAAGAATAACCAAATATGCGGTTGCTCTGGTGAGCTATGGCAGCATAGAATCATCGGTCTGGATTTTGAAAGCCAAAATGGTTGACTACAGTATGCAACAGTTACATTGATATTTCGGCATGGGTTAAAACTTGGGAGCTAAAAGGAACCACAATTCCATGCATTTATGAGTAAACTTTCAAATATGTCCACACTATCCCGCTGTTCCATCTGGATCCACCTGCAGCAATGAACCATGGAAAGGCAAGCGGCGGAGGATCGGCCACTGTGAATGGTTTTTTTGCCATAGCAGGCTGTGAAACTCCCAATGAAACTTGGCAGCTAGGGGCCGCTTTGGAGCGCGTCCGCTTGGTGACTTTGCCATGAAGCCTGAAACAACCATAAACAACCCAATGTTCGCGTACAATCACTTTAGCTGGAACAGTCTACTAGTGACCAGAGGCGAATTCACTGGACATTCCCATTGTAGAATGAGTGTAACTACGGTCTAGATCGGTCTAGCAGGGTGCATCAGTGGCAATCTCACACAGACAGCTTCGGAAAGGATCACGTTCACGCAGCCTGTAAAATGGGACCAGCGTTTTGCATCAATGGTAAGTCTTAGCATCTGGAAGTGTCGTGGGCAAAGGTCTAAATAAACACGTTTGTCAACCTGGGAACCCCCAAGACGGGTTACACATAGCGAGGAATCCTGAGCGGAGTGGTTTAGAAGCACCTTTTTTTGAAGTATACAGAAATAAACAGACATATAAGTTCTGACTTGGTTTCCATTGACGAAGCGCAAATCTTTCTTGATCCTTTGGGCACAGATCTGAGACCAGGACGTCGCAGATCCCCGCTGCGGACGCAAAAGGACCTACTACCACCTCCATTTGGAAGGCTGGACTGCAGCTTGGCACGAACTTGGAACTTGGCACCAAGGCACTGGGACATGGTGCGGATGAGAAAACTACTTTCATTTCAAAGATTTTCAAATGGATCCGACTGGGTCCCAGTGTCCCAGCGGTTTTCCTTTTTGGACTTATGGACTTTCAAGATTTACAAGTACAGTATAGGTCAATCCTTCAGATCTGAAAATTACCCACGGGCAATCGTCTAAGGTCTTGCTCTAGATCATTCCAACCATCATCCACGGTATAGCTACAGTTTTAATCCAGCCAAGGGGCAGGGTTTACCTCCTCAAGTGACTACTATTCTGGCTCAAGGAAAGAGTTGCCCCTGCAGCTTTGTGTTTTGAGGTTTTACCACTTTCTAATATCACTCTGCCTTTAATGGATTATCACGCCGTACTGGCTTAACATTCTTGCCCCTTTATAAACTGTATACATATTAACCTCGGTCGTGTGTGACGCAATAGTTTGCCTTGATCTCTGCGCGGCAACTTCCTAGAGGGGCTTTGTGCGTCTAACAAAGGTAGCGCATCGAGATTGGCAGTCAGTTGTGTATGGGCACAAGGAGGTGGAGGCCAAGAGGTGGATCGTCGGTGCGTCGGAAAAGAAAAAGGAAATTCTGCTGGAATCTGCGAAATTAGACCGAAACTATCCGGCGGTTGTCGACGAGTCTTTGCAAACAAGGTCGGACGAAGAGGGGGAGACAACTGAAATCGTTCTGCCTTCATCATCTGCAGGGTCCTCACCTCGACCATCTCAATCTAGGCCAAAGCCAACTGCTAAGGCGAAACCACGCTTCGCACCAATTGAAGAGTCAGCGCTTGCAACGTTTTTGGACATCTGGCGATATTGACGTTCGATCGCTACCGGAGTTTGACGGTCAGGCACTCTTCAATAGAGCGTGTGTGCTGAGTACTGTGACGAGCAGGGCCCAGATTGGGAAGAGGTGCAAAACAGTTTGAAGGGTTGCGTGATCCTGGATTTGTACAAAACCTTTCTTCTTCCAAAGTCTTGGGCGCGCTCACAGTCCTCAAGTGGAAGCATTCAGACAGGTGACGGGAGGGTCTTCAGCACAGGCAGCGTCCAGACCCACGAGGGTCAGCTTTTCATCACAGAGGAAGCTGGGCGTTTGTTCGTGGATCTTGCTAGTAGTGGAACAGCTTCATTCGAAAGAAGAACTCAGATCGGTACATCCACTCAGGCGTTGCCAACAAATCCCCGCTGAGAGTTATCGTGCATCGCAAACTGGCCAAAGGACAGGTTGCGAAGGGATTTGACCCGGTGGCTGCCACCGACGACAGTTGGGACGTGATTCAGTCATATCACCAAGTCGAAATTCCAGCCACCCACGTTTGCTGACTGCCGACGTAAGATTTTCGGACGAATCCATCAATATTGGGGAGGTGAAAGATTGTCTGAAGGTAGCCCTGGGACTGGGAGGTTCAATTTTGGGGTATCTTCAGATAATCCTTTCTAGTAAAGATCACAGCAACCGCGAAAGGGTGCATTTGAGTAAGAGACCAACCAAATTAGGAAACATGTCAACAAACAAAGAATCGAGTGGTTCTAGCGAATTGCATTTGGCAGTTGCCGCAATCAACACACCGTTGCAGAGCTCTCCAGGGGAAGAATCCCTCCCGCCCAACATGCATGAAAGCTTAGTTCGCCGAGCCAGGGATGATCATAAAAATGCACACCGTAGGTCTAGGTCTTTAGGGCCATATCAATCTTCGAAAGGTGCCAGTGATTTATCAGGGTTGGAAGCTGGTAGATATGAGTTGGGCGATGAGGAACACCTTATGTCTAGACGCGGTAGGTTCCAAGAACTTTCCGGCCTGGGTCAGGGTTTAGGGGTCCAGCAAAGTGCCACATTTGTCTTGCAAGTTGTTGATGCCCAGTCCATCCAAGTAGGAATCCCCCCCGAAGTAGCCCACCAAGCAGCTAGGCAATTTGCCAATTCTGTTCTTAGTGCCACCATTGCTGAAGCCGAGTTGAAACATATAAGAGCGACTGAAGTAGCCCAAAGGGTGTCCAGTCAAAGTGCTAGGCAACATGCTATTGCAGAGGCAGAAGTTCGCCATCAGCAGGTTATCCAAGACTTGTCCAGGCCATCACTAGAACAAGCTCATAGCATGAGTACCCAAGTTGCTGACCAAGTCAGACGGGAGACCGTTGCTGAAGCAGAAGCACGCCATCACGCAATTTTGAGGGATACCATCGAGCAAGTAGAAAGTAGGCATTCTCGGGTGCTTAATGAAGCAGTGGCGCAATCCAGCCCAGGGGACCAAGTGGCCATCCGTGAGTTGCAATCCCAGTTGCTTCACCTTGCCCGCCAAAATCAGGAACTTCATAATTTGATTTGTATGCTGATGAACCTGTTCCAAACCAACCAGACTCTGTTAGTTCATGTTAGTTCCATCAATCAAGTTCTAGCTGTTCTCCAAGAAGAAGTCCAGAATTTGAGAGATGCAGTGGGTAGGAAAAGTAAGAAGGGGAAAAAGCAGAATGATTCATCGGAAGCCTCGAATAGTGAGTCATTGTCCCTGTCAGATCATGAGTTTGCCGTAGAACGTAAATTAATGCGGTTAAAGGGTTATGATAAAATCAAAGTACCCCAGCTCCTGAAAAGAGCTGCAGAAATGAGGGGATGGAAGAATTCTCTGATATTTCAAATCGTAGCATGTCGTAAGGGTAGCGAAAAGGAATTGCTGAGCTGGTTAAGTAGTCCTTTGGAGGGTGTAGAGCTTTCATCGGATAAATTTCCAGTACTCAACCGAGTCCTCGGTTCCAAGCTGCTTGAAGCCACAAAGGGAGGTAGATTTGGAGTCGATTTCCAAGCATTGCAGGAACGCAGTGTTCGTCAAGGTATGCAGGTGCAAGGGCATGTTTTGTTTGGAAGAATCTGTAAAAAGTTTCGTCTTGACGAAGAGCACGGAATGAGCCTCAGCCAGCAGCATCTTTTGGCCTTGAAGCCTCAGGGTGTTGAAATCAAGGATTTGGAAGTGTTTCGGGATCGGGTGGAGTTCGTGCTTTCGAGCCTTGAGACTTCAGAGTATCCTAACGAAGAAATCCTTAGATCTTGGTTGTATGAGTGTCTCAAAAACGTCCCAAAGCTTGCATTGCAAATTGACAAATTAATTCAAGGAAGCATCGGTTGGAGACAGCATTCGGTCTTTCCAGTGGTTGTGGCAATCAATGATCGATTGCATTGACGAATCTCAGCATGACCACAACACCGCATCTATCCTGAATGCTCTTCGCTCAAAGGTTGATGCCGCATCCGCACCTATTGAAAAGAAAGACAAAAAGACAGACAAGAAGAAAGAGAAAGCAGAAACCACCAAAGATCAGAGAGACAAAGTTGATGTTGCTGTGGCATCCTCTTCAAAGACGCAGCCCAAGGCGAAGTCGAATCCCAACGCCAAATCTTCTCAAAGCAAAGCTGATGGGAAGGGAGGTGTTCAGGATAAGAAAGAGGTTGTAGCAGGCGAAAGAGGCACTCCGTGTCTCTTTTATCCAAGGGGCAAAGCCTAAAGCTAGCTCCAGTGTCGCTGCTGCATTTGCCGTTGCTGCAGGAAACCTGCCATCAGCTAAAGCTTCAGCCCCAAGGATTTTTAAAGCTGTTGGTTCGTCATTTGCACTGCTGTGTTACGATGGTACTGTGAGTGAGGCTCCGTTTTTGCGGCAAAATTCCTGTGACAATCATGTCCCAGTGTTGCCAATGCAATATGAGGAGGTGCCATTCACAAGCTTCAATGCAACGACAGGTGAAGTGACTTGGCTGGGAGACACCGGCGCGGGCCGCAATGCAATATCAGCCGAATCAAGGGCATTAACCCTGATGTCATCGGTTTGTCAAACAACCCTGTTACTTTTGCAACTGGTAGTGGATCAAGATCTGGATCTGATTCTTGTCAAGTTGTTGGCGAACTCACTGGTTCAAACGAATGTTACTGGTTGAAAGATAGCCCTTGGGCATTGTCCATTGGCGATCAAGTTCGTCAGGGTAAAGCATTCATTGAGTTGCCGCCCAGCAGCGAAGACATTGCCAAAAACACTGCGCTTCCTAAATGTCCAGAGCACGCGCGTTGTTATGCCAGTGAAGTTCGAGAAAATTAATCCGACGGATACGAGGCAAGTCTCGTTCCTGAGGGTATATTGAACCCCCCTGAAGATGTCCCCGAAGAAGACGTTCAGGGTGTCATGCTAGACCATTCTATTTTGCATCTTCCCAAGCGGGCGGATTGCCCCGTATGCCAAGAGGCCAAACAAGATGCCTTGCCGGCTAGGAAGGTTAAAGGGCCAAGGGTCTTCACCGATGATAAACCTAGTGAGAATTTTGGGGATAGAATCCACGCAGATCACATTGTAGTTGCAAAAGGCCGTTTAGATGTTTCCAAAAAGGGTTTAAGAGGAGAAACAAAGTGCTTGGTTTTGTATGATGATTACACCAGGATACTCACGGCCTATCCGGCACCCTCGAAAGGAGCAGGTGAATGCGTGAAAGCGTTCAGGCACTTTCTTGGAAAGCGTCCCGCTGTGGAATTGCATGCTGATAACACTCCTGAGTTTGAAGGTACGGCTAGCCAGCTAGGACTTGTTTATGATGCGACAGTCCCATACCGGAAAACAGCCATCATTAACAGAGCAATTCGAACTCTTGAGGGTATTACCAGATGCTGCCTTGCCCAAGTCGGGAACTTCAATGAATTATGGCCTATAGCAATCAAGTTTGCTGCTACAGCATTGTCAACCCAGAAATGGGGGAGACTCCACAACCATGATTTGAGGGCTTCACATTCCTTTCGGTGCACTTATCCAGTACAAGCCAGCCGTTGCCAAAACCAAACTTGGTGCCAAAACATCAGCGGGTTTGTTTCTTGTATGGAGGGCTGAGGCAGGAATCAACTGGAAGCGTACTTAATTATGTTTGTGATATTGACAATGTCAAGTCGTGGTTAGAAGGGAAGTCTACTTTCCAAGTGTTGGCATCAATGACGGTAGTGCAGACTGGTGATGACAAATTTCCTTTGAGAGAGGCTGTAAGAACTCAACTCGAGAAATTGGAAAGTTTGCCTGTGCTTCGCTTAGAAGATGATGTAGCTGCATTGGAGGGAGAATAAGGGATTGAAGGCCCTTTGCTGCCCAAAGATCGCTCGTGTGATGACATCATTCCTTTCGAAGAGCCTCTCATGCTCCAGAGATCTCTTCAAAGCATGAAGCTATTACCTCTTCACGATTGCTTCAGAATGGCCATAGTCCAGGCTGTGGCGCATGTGAAAAAGGCATAGGCAATCACACTGTGAGCTGCAGAGAAAGATTTGACAAGCTAATCAGGGGGGCAAGTTTACACTTCCCAAGGGCGTTGCCAAAGGCGTTGATTCGTGGAAGCTTGAAGAAAATAAGCTCACTCGATTTCATCACATCAAGCGCAAAAAGCTCCTTGTTGCCTGAAGATCTTCCTGTCAAATCCAAAAGGCTTGGAAAAAGGACGACCATTGTAAAGTAGACCGAAGATACTATAGTAGATGAAAACTGGAACGGTAACTCCAAGACTCTCAAAGAATTTTGGGCTGGTCAAACGGTGTTTGAGCTTCTGCCTGAAGCGGATGAGGTCCCTGGTGGAGCCATTGATGCCCTGAGTGGAGAGCAGCAGGCCAAGCCGAAGCCGCGCCCCACACAGGAAAGGAAAAAGCTTAAACAAATGGTCAAAGCCTGCGTATGGTGTATTTGTAGAGTTTTGTTGCAGTCCCCAATCCAATCTTGGGAAAGTGTCGGAATCCGCAGGGGTTAAACATGTTCGTCTAACCAAAGCCAATGGAGATTTTGCAAGGTTTGATGTGCAAGAACAGCTTCTTGAAGTGCTTGACTCGGATGACTTGAACGGCGTTGATTTGTGGGGCTCTTTGCCTTGCAATCCTTGGTCCGGATGGCAGAGGTTGAATCTCCGCAGATTAGGTCCTGAGATCAGGCGGAAACTGATGGCACAGAGGCTTGAAAGCCGCAAGCTCCTGAATTTCTTCTTCGAGTTGTCGGAGATTGTCCTTGCTCGAGGAGGCGGTTCACTTTGAATGGCCTACTGGTTGTTCGGGGCGGAAAATTCCAGAGCTTCAGGATTCCTTTAATGCAAACCGCTTCAAACTTGCGCATTTCAATGGATGCATGGTAGGAGGAGAATCCTTCAAACCATGGACTGTTGCCTCAACAGATGATAGCCTCATCCGGTGCTTGCGGACCAAGACATGTGATCATAATCACACCCACGTTCAGCTG